CTGTATCGGCAGGCGGACTCTCAACCACTGCACCACCAGGGAAGCCCAAGAGGTTTTTTTTTTAAAGCTTTAGATATATTTCAAATAGCTAGTCCCTGGTCTCTTAATGACAATTTCTTTTCACATTTCATACATATATGTGCATGCATACACATTCATCCATCCAATGATAGAAAGATGTAGGTTTGTCATCATGACATGTCATATTGTCATCAAAATTAGAGTAGTGATATACACTTATTAGTAAATTACTACTAAACAATTATTACCAATAAATTCTCAAGTGCCAATATATATTAAAATTATAGGGGACTTCCCTCAGGGGGCAGTGGTAAGGAATCCGCCTGCCAATGCAGGGGACATGGGTTCGAGCCCTGATCTGGGAAGATCCCACATGCCGTGGAGCAGCTAAGCCCATGTGCCACAACTACTGAGCCTGCGCTCTAGAGCTCAGGAGCCACAGCTCCTGAAGCCCGCACGACTAGAGCCCACGCTCTGCAACAAGAGAAAAGCCACCGCAATGAGAAGCCCGCGCACCGCAACAGAGTAGACTCTGCTCGCCACAACTAGAGAAAGCCTGCGCGCAGCAATGAATACCCAGTGCAGCCAAAAAAAAAATTAATTAATTAATTTAAAAAAATTATACAAATTGGTAAAATCAGTCCCAGTCAGTGTCAGTATATATTAAACTGCACAATATCACAACCTGCTAGAGGTAGTATGTAAATTATTACAACCTGCTAGGGATAATAACATTGAGATTAAAATGTGTGTTATCTATTAACAAATTTCAAAGTAAAGAGAGACTGAATCTTTTGAGACTCACAACTACTCTGTGAGACTGGTATTACGATTATCTGCATTTTACAGAGAAAACAGGTTTAACCAGTTTAAGTGGCTTGTCCTAAACCCCACAGCAGTGCTAGGCAGAGCCAGGGGCGAACGCTGGCCTGAGCTTACCTACTTCGTGGTGTGTGCTTATGATCCTGTCATGATGGCTCCATCCTTTGGAAGACAGGTATGATTGATTAAAGAATCAATGAGAGTAAAGGGAAGGAAGTATTTGGCTTACTCATGACAGAAAAATAAAAGTGTGTTAAAGATATTATCCAAATTTTTGATGTTCTTTGGAAAATTACCCAACAGTGCGATTCCTAAATATTCCTCTAAACTGACTTCAGTTTTATTAAGATCTAAATTTCTAATCACCACTAAAATCTTTTGTAGGGTGGATTAAGATAAATTTTAATGTTTAGATGCCTCATTTATTTCTTTAAAAATGAAATATAAGAATAGGAAAAAAGCCTACTTAAAGATAGGTAATTATACATACAGTCCTATAGTTTGGTAAGGAGACTAGGTAGTACATAATACCCCTCCCCCCCAAAAAAGAAGGCAAAACCACAGCCATCTTTTAAATACTATAATGAGAGGAAAGTGGGATGGCAGAGACTTTAGCAGACAGTGTAGGGCTGGTGCTGACTGCATGACAGCATGGTTGGGAGGCTATGGGCCTAACTGAGCAGATTAAGGGGTGTGACAGGTCTTCTGCCCGGTGCAGATCTGCTGTCCTACATGTCAAAGGCCTGATCCATCACAGCTTTAAAAGAGTGGGCAACAGAGGAAAGATAAGCACAAAAAAGAGTAAGCGCCAAAGGGAAGAGACTCACTCCAATTGCAATTCAACTAGATAACAGTGAAATGACTGGTCAGGTATTTTTATTGAGGATCCCACAACTAGCTTATCTGTTCCAGTGTGGGTTTCAGGTCACCAAATTTGTCAACATGAAGTGCTTTAACAATACAAACTAATTGTGAACCCCAAAAGTCTGTGGTCAAATATCATCATTTAACCCTGTCAGGAGGAAGAAAAACAAAGCATAAAAAAGCTTCAAATACTAGAAATTTTAAAGAGCTGGGGCTCTGGTCTCTGAGACATTAAAACAACAGTTCTGATTATGTACAGGAGAGTGTCATTTAGACCAGTACTTCTCCAAAGACGGTCAGACGTCTTGTGGCATCACCATCACCGGGCTGCTTGTTAGAATGCACGTTCTCAAGGTCCAACCCTGACCTAAGGAAGGAGGATCATTGAGGGTAGGGCCCAGCAGTCTGTTTTAACAAGGTCTCCAGTCGATTCTTTCATGCACTAAAGTTTGCAAAGCACTGATTTAGACCATCGTCTGTCAAATTGCAGATTACAACCCATTAGTGGCTTATGAAGTCAGTTCAGCAGGCAGTAACCAGCATTTTACAAAAGTGAACTGGAATAGACTAGAAACTGGAGTGCATCCCACATAGCATGCGTATGACCTCATACAACTTTCTTCAGTTATATACATGTATACTGATTTGGATGAAGCAGCACTTTTAATTTTTGAAGAACTGGTAGAGTAGAATAAAGAAGCTACAAATTTTAAATGAAGTCAGAACTGTTTGGCTGACAAGAAAACACAGTGACAGTTTAATGTGGATTCCTGTTTGGAGAGAGACAGAGGAGAGAGGAAAGAGGGCCAAGGAGAGAACATAGCAGGCCAGTTTCATAACTCCAGAATCCTTGAGGTGAAAGAAACAAAAAGTCCCACCCAGAGAGGAAACAGAAGGGGCATCTGCCACACGGGAAATGTCAAGGAAGATTAGGTCATGTGCAACCTTCAGGAAACAATCACTGAAGCTGGAATATTCATTCACTCCTTTATTCATTCATTCATTCATTCACAGATCACTTATTGTACCATCATAGGTCCCAGGCACTGTGTTAGATGCTGGGGGTACAGATGTGAGGCCTATCATGGACAGTGTTGTTTAATGACAGCCAGAAGATCAATAATAATATTACAATCGTGCTGTGAAGATCAGTGCCGTGAAGGGATTATGAACACAGCACTGAGTGGGAATACAGAAGTTAGCCTGTGACGATGGCGTTAAGAGTGGGGTGACAGGGGAGATCCATATGGAGAGGGAATTTAATCAAGATGATGACCACTTTTTTTTTAATCTTTTTGAATTAGTGTTTTTATTTTCTTTGGATAACCACATTTTAACATGATGTTCTGTTTTGAAACTAATCAGTTGTGCTAGATGGTGTTTCTAGATACACAGTTTAAAGCAGAAGGAATTTAGCTGATCCACACAGACACAAAAAATTTTTCTTTATGACATTTTGATGGCTTAATAACAGGAACTGACACTTGAATTTTTTCATGTAACTTTGTTTATTGTAAAATGTTTTACTAAGATTTCATATTTAGCTTAGATATTTGATAGCCAGACAATTGTTCGTGTGTGTGGCAAAGACATGCTTGCTATGTGCTTGCCAAAATTTTTTCCTTCTCTTCCTGGACACAGACACAAAACCACATTTTCTGACCCCTTTGCAGGTAGGTTTGCCTATGTGACCGATTTCTGCCAACATGGATAGTGGGCAGAGGGAATGCAAACCCTTCCAGGCTTGGCCAAAACTTCTTCCAGTATCTGCCCCTTTTCTTTGGCCAGCCAGGTGCACAGGATCTAGTGACGGACTCTGTGAGGGGCCCAGGGGCCTGCTTAGCACTACATAAGAGCCTGGGTCCCTGAGTCACCGCTTGGAGAAGAGACACCCAGGATTGCCACTTAAGTGGGGAACTGTTCGGAGGGAGATGAGAGGGTGTACCAAGTGAACTTGTAACGTGCTTTCATTCCATCAAGACCCTGAGGCTGAGGGGCTTGTTTCCACTGCGTGGCTTAGCCTGCCTTGACTAAGATGCCATCCCCGGCACTGAGGAACACAAAGCACATATCTATGAGCTGAATGAATGATCATTACAACTCCAATTTTTATCCTCTGTATCCAATGTTCAGCCTGTAAATGGCCTTCTCACTACTCATTTATTCAACAAATACTTACCTAGAGGTTACTGCGTGCCAAGCACTGCAACGGTGAGCCAAAAAACCACACTTTCCATGCCCTCATGGAACTTACAGTCTTGTGAGGAACGGATATCAATAATCAAACAAATGTAAAATTCCAACTGTTGTGAGTGGTGTGAATGCTGGAAACCTGGCACTATAAGGGGATTTTTTTCCTAGGTAGGAATAAATGAATAAATGTTGAGTGTTTTTCAGGTGTAATTAATGTCTGGGTAAAAATCACTTAAAAATATAGGTTTGGATGTGATGAAGCAAAGTATAACTAAATCTGGATATGAGTAAGAGTCACAGAGTTAAATCTTTCCATTGAATAGTTTTAACTAATAAATGGGGTTTATTCCATATTATAGTTATCTAAACTTTTAAAACGCATAATGTATAAATGATGTATAAAATTTTATACATGATAGAGTATATAATGATGAGTATGAAACTCTTTATCAGTTGTTAGCTCCTCAGAGACTTGCAAAAGTCTTTTACTCCTTTTTAAAAAATCATAGTTTATTACTTTTCTCTGTTAACAGTAAGTTCTTGCCATACTGGTGACAAATTCCTGCTGAACGACAGTTCTGCACCCAAGGCCTCATTCAATAAAAGTTAAATCGGATCAAATCACTAGATGCCTTCTTAAACGAGAGCTTGTCATTCTAGTAACACTTTGGCGTTTCAAACTTTTCTTTGCTTACCAAGTAAACGTTGGTTTCAGTAAGCTCATACCCAAGATGAAAGAATGTTAGATTTGAATTGAGTAGCTTTGTGTGTGTGTGTGTGTATACATATACACACACACACACAATACATCAATATCTATACATATATCCTTCACTTCTGTTTAAAAACTTGATTCTCATACCTCAAAGTGATAAAAATCATTACAAAGCTTGATACAAATGATTACATAAATGACTCATTACAAATATGGAAAAACGACAAAGTATTTACATCTGCATTTTGTACAAAAAACACCCGTTGCAATTATTTTCATATAGAGGACACTTTTAGGCATTTTAAAAATGGGAGGGTCAGAGCAGGCTGTCCACTGGGTATCCAGACCATGCTTTGCTACCAAGACACCACATTACAGTTACGAATGGAGTGAGAATTTTATTAATTGCCATTTTAGAGAAATTACCGGATTTTAAAACAGCAGGTACCCTCGAGATTTGATACCAAGATCCCAGGTAAGGAAACTAAAGTTCAAAAAGGTAAAATAATTTGCTTATTACACGTAACTTAGTTTTGGTCCCAGACCTAGACCCCAGGTCTCCTGAATCGGGTGCTTTCTCTGCGCCACAGTTTTTGCCCTACAACTGAAGATCAGGCTGGATTATCCTTAGTTCTATCAACTCTGTGCTTTCTCCACACTCAGAGTGTTTAAATGGGATAGATCTAATTCAGATCAAGTTGGCTTATGCCTCCTCGGTTCTTTCTTTTGTTTTCAGTCTTTTATCATCAGCATTGGTGAGCTTCTGTTTTATTTAAACGACACACTCGGAGTAACACCAAGGAGGAAGTTGACACGCACCCAAACTAAATGACTCGGGACACAGGACCGAGCCATTCCCAGCCCCGGCTGGAAAAAGCAGAAGTAGACCCACGGTCAGGTCCGGCGTCCGAGGGCCACGTGCGGCAGGAGGGGCCGCCTTCTGGTTGGCGCTCCGAGGGGCTCGGTCCCTCCAATCGGCGTAGGCCCTGCGCTGGAGAGGGGGCGCGCGCCCTGCATGAGAGGGCGGGGCCAGCGACCTGTCCATCACCGATTCCGCGGGTGGCAGCACCTACCACACCAAGGCACCTAGGCGAGACAAGGCCGAAGCGGGAAGGCCGCGGCTGGGGGAGGCGGGGCCAGGCTGGCGGGAGCCAATCCGCTGGGCGGCGCCAGGGGGCGGGGTCACCGCGCGCGACCCAAACACTCGGGCCCTGGCGCATCCCGGAGCAGCGCAGCTTCTCCGCCTTCCGGTGAGAGGGCCGCTGAACCTCCTACCCTCCTGGGCACCCCTACCTTCGTGTCCCACCTCCCCCACCACCCCCGCCCCTCCTTCACCGGGGGAGCGCGGTGACGGTTGCCGGGAAGCACGCGCCGCTCCTCCCTCCCCTCCGGCGTCCTCCCCTCACGCGCCACCCGTTTTTTCTCCTTCTCTGTTAATAACAGCTGGGTGGCTGGGGGAGGAGGGAAGGTGGCCTTGGCTGAGTCTGGGCGGGCGCCTCCCACTCACCCGCGAGCCGCCGTGGGAGCAGGAGGATGGCGGCGGTAGCGGCGGCCGCCCGGGAGGAGGCGGTGCCGAGGCTCTCGGCGCAGAGCGCGACGGCTGCAGAGAGCGGCAGCGGCCCGTCGCGGCGCACTAGAACCGAAAGCAGCGGCAGCCGCGCAGCCACCTGAGCCGCCCCTCCCGCCGGAGCCAGGGAGCGGCGCCCACGGGAGCCGGGACCTCCTTCCTCTCCGTCTCTCCTCGTCTCCCGCGCCCCGTGTCAGGCAGCAGGTCTCGCCCGCCAACCCCGAGAAGAGCGCGCCGGGCGCAGACCGCCCCTCGGGGCGCCGGGCTGCGGCCCTGGACGTGCGGGCTTCTGTCTGCGCCGGCCTCTGCGCCTCGACCCTGCCCTCTCGCTCACGCGCTCGCTCCCCCCCCCTCCCGGTGCTCCGGGCGCTGCGCGCGGGCCCGGCCCGGGACAGGGCGGACATGGGCGCCAAGCAGAGCGGCCCGGCCGCTGCTAACGGCCGCACCCGCGCGTACTCGGGCTCGGATTTACCTTCCAGCAGCAGCGGAGGGGCCAACGGGACCGCGGGCGGCGGGGCGCGAGCCGCGGCCGCCGGGAGGTTTCCGGCTCAGGTGCCCGGCGCGCACCAGCCCAGCGCCTCTGGTGGCGCCGCGGCGGCCTCGGCGGCCCCACGCAGCCGCTCCCTAGGCGGGGCCGTGGGGACCGTGGCGGCGGGGGCCCGCGCGGCGCAGTCCACCTTCAGCATCCCCAACAGCAGCAGCGGCCCGTACGGCTCCCAGGACTCGGTTCACAGCAGCCCCGAGGACGGCGGCGGCGGCAGGGACCGGCCGGCGGGTGGGGGTCCCGGCGGCCCACGCCTGGTGATCGGCTCCTTACCAGCTCACCTCTCGCCGCACATGTTTGGAGGTATGGCCCCTTCCCTCCTTGGCTCCCGCGGGCGGCACGTGGGCCGCGGCTGCGCTTATTTTTACCCTTCTCCTTCAGCTTCGGCGCCGGGGGTTCGCCGCGCTGCCGGGCCGGGTCACCCCTCTTGAGGGGGGGAGGGGGGGGAGAGAGAGAGAGAGAGAGAGAGAGAGAGATCGCCTCTTAACCCCTGCAGCGCCGCTGCCGCGCGACCCTTGTGTTTGGTTTTTGTTTTTTTTTTAACACAAAGTGCACCCTCACCTCTTCGCTGCTCCTTTTGCCCCCCGGAGGTGAAGGGAGCAAATAGTGTTTTAAAAACAAACCGACGCAACAGCCCTGGTGCTTGTGGATTTTAGTAGCAGGAAGTCAGGAGAAGACCCGTTGCTAAATGTAGTTCTATCTGGTGACTCGAGTGGTGAGCAGTTCTTAAAGGCCAAAAGTCAGAGTCTGAAATGAACAGATGAGTATTTGAAGAAGAAGGGAGTTATCGTCTTTGGAGTAACTGTTAATGTATAAAACTGTAATTATATCTGTGTAAATAGTCCCACCTGTTGCGTACACTTTAATTGGATGAATGTGTTAATGAAAAGTATTTTTAAACCCCAGTAAATTGCTACTTTAGATAATGGTTAATATGAATCCTGCTTAATTTGGACAGAGCATTAAAAAATTGAAAACAGTTTCTTAAGGAGATAAACTAATTATCATAACTCTGCCTGCAAGATGCAGTAAAGGCCTTAGGTGCTTTTGAAAAGCCATGTTCACTAGAGTTCAGGGAAAGACACTGAAAAATGGAAATTTTAGTAGTTAAACGATATGTGTTTATGTAGAAACAGAGGGGTAAGGGTGCCCCTGATCTGAGGAAAACAAATTCTACCTCTTCAGTTATGTTTTATGCTTATGAACTTTTTGTCAAAACGGTTAATGATAAATGAATTAAGACACCCTCGCTTCCCAGTTCATGAAAAGAGGTAGAAGTTAACTCTGGCTAGAGATGCAGACTATAGAAGATAAACGTTTCCATATCATTGCGTTACGCATCATATTATCTGCATTCACAGTTGAGCACAGATGAATAGTGAAAACACCATCATTTCCATTTCTGCACCCCTTTTACTCATGTGCTTATAAATGTGAGAAATTTGAGTAGGTGGTTGGTAAAGTGGAATATTCAATAATGTAATTTATCTGCTCTGTTCTGTACTATCAGCATTCCCCTTAGCATAAATTAAAAATGGGAATGACATGTCTAGTTTTTTCCATCTTCTTAATACTGGTTTGTATATTCAAAATGTAGAACAACTCTCTAGTCACCTTACTTTGTTATTAAAGTGATTTCTGCCATGTAACTAAAAATATTGACTTTTCCTAAGATTAGCCCTTAAAAAAAAATTTTGTTTTTGAGAAAAAGAATTAGTGCTGACCATACTGTGATTTGTGATTCATAATTAACACAGCTGAAGGTACTGTAGTCACCACATTGAAGAATAACAAAAGATTGTTTCTTGAGAATGGAAGATTAGTGCAAAAATAAAGGCTAATAAGCTGGTTTTTAAAAAATGATTATCTTTTTAAGATTAAAATTTGCATTTAGCAGTTATGTATATTTAGAAGTTTGCTAAAGAAGGGGGAATAGGAAAGGGTTTGTTAAATTAGTAGTTTTTCTTTGGTATACTGATGGAGCGTCTTAATTCAGTTTTTTTATAGGGCTGATAATTTCTTTTAACAAAGAGTATATTTGTATGGGTTTATTTTCTTAAATGTTTCATTCAGAGCAGGGGTAAATAGTTGACACCTGTGCTATTAATTCATAGTAAAAGAGCAAATGAAGAAGACCTAGCTGCTGAAAGTTGGAGTAGTAAAGCGTTTATCTTTTTTCTTATCTAAATTCCTAGATTTGTGCACTTAGTCCTTTTAGTATTTTGGGGGTTAGGATGACTGGGGCCTGGTGGAAGCACAGTGACACTGAGAACTGTGGCAGCCTTTCTTAACCAAGTCTCTAGAGAATGGAGCTCTAATGTCTTAAGGCATCTATTGTATGCAATTAATTAATTTTTTTCTCCTGTGCATTTAGAGTGTTTCTAGTTATATATCTTTCTTAGGAAATTTAAGAAAACAGTCATTCACATAATCTTGTGTTTGGTAATTCAGATGAGGAACCCCAGTTGAGAAAGTTTGGAAGAGGATCACAAATTACTTTTTCTTATTAAATGATGGGAACAGATCAAAGTGCCAGTACCTTAAATCCTAGTTAAGACCGGAAGATGGAATAAGGTGAAAAAGCATCTTTCCAGCAGCATTTGCTTTAATGAGATTTTTACCTGTATTTCAGTGGATGGGCTCATTAGGGAAACTTAATAGAAGCATGTTTGTCATCATCCTGAGATTTAGGGAACCAGGTGATGAATCTTATTATTTTAAAACCTAGGCTTTATTATACTCCGTGTTGAGTTAATTTTTTAGTATCTATTATAGTGTTAATGTGTTTATTCAGTTACAAGTTTTACAGATGTTTGGGCATTATAAAGTAACTCCATCTGAAAATTGAGAAAAGGGATATTTCTAAATTAGTGGGAAGTTATTTCTGTAAGTTTATAAAACTTATTTTAATTGATGTTTGTATCGTTACTGTCTCCTAATAGGGAAATATGGTGCTAATAAGATTCCAAATTATCTTTCCTTTAGAGGGTGTCATGTAATTTATAGAAAAGGAAAACCTAAACAATACCACTTTCTGAAAAAAAATTTAGAAGTCTGACAAGTTGAATTGTTACTAGTTCCGTCATAATGAATTACCAAATTAAATGAGGTTTTCTGTGTTGGTTTATGTTTTTCTCTCTTTGGGACATGTATTTTGGCTATATTCGCTCTTATTTAGTTCCCTCTAGAGAACCGGAAGAGAGGTGCTTAATTCACATATTTCAGTTTACAGAGATTTCCTAGAACTTCTTAGAACTGAATTATTGTATATCAGAATATGATTATAAAACATGTAGGAGTTTTTAGGTCAAGTAGGTTTTTCTTCTTTTTGTTATTCTTTTCAGAGTGCTGAGTTTAATACTATTACAGTGAACAAAAAGCCTTTTCTTTATCATGTTTGTTCTAAAACAGGTCTTTAAGGGAATAGTCTAATATTTAAAAGACTTGGTGGTATCTTAGAGAGGATTTTTTTGGCTCTATTGTGTCTCTACATTTTTTCCACTATCAAGTTGGCTAAATGTTCATAAAATCAATTATATGTGTGGTAAAATAGTGTTTAATGATCCAGCAAGGATGGCAGAGGTAAATTGGACTATAAAATTATACCAGTCAATGGAGTTCATTTCTAGAGAAACCATGTGGGCTTCTCTTACATCCATGAGTTTGGAAGTAAAAAGGTAAAATGAATTAATCTAGACAATTTACTGATGGTACTGGGTTGCTTTTGGCCCCCTCCTAATTGATTGGCTTGAGTTTCTTTGGGCGTGTTGTGCCTATGAGTATTTCAGTTGTCTGATTGTAATTCAGGTGCCTCCTGTTACTTAGGAAACATGCTTCCTTTTATTGAAGGAGTTTAGGTTATCACTTAAAACAATATGTTAAATAAAATTTATACTTTTGGCAGACTTATTTCTCTTAATTTTCAAGATGGATGTGGGTTTTCAGGTGTTAGATTATCTCCATTAATTAACTGTATTGAATTGTACTCAGTCACTACTTCTTACCAGTATCTAGTGCTAAAATGTTTGAACTGGGGATATTGTGATTAATCTACTTTCTATTCCTGAATGTTCTTTTATTCAATTGAAGGCTTTTATGGGGTGGTAGAAGAGAAATGTCTGCTTCTTCTGAAGAAAAATGACTCTTCTAACCACTATCCCGTCACACACCCCCCCACACACACACAAAAAAGCAGCCCACAAGAACTCTGATGGTTAATGTTTCTCACTTGTAGTCTCACATAATCTTTAAACACTCTAGGGAGATCCCTTGTGTTGTATGCTTTGTTATGCTAAGGTGTGGACTCTGCCATGGAAGTCTTTGCTTTGGGAGTATTTTGAGTTTTCTTGACTGCAAGGTGGAAGGTGTGCCAGAGGGAGGAGTGGTTTGTGTTGCACTGGGCATTATCTGATATGAGAGCTGCCTGACCTAAGTACTTTTGATGCCTTGCTGTCCACGTAGCCAGAAAGAGCTCTGTTGTTTTACTCACAGGTAGTGTCTACAGCAAGTCCTTCGTCTGCCTCCAATTTGATTGCTTTGCCTGGTAACAAGTAAGTAGGTTCTTATTTATTTTCTGGTTGCCAATACCACTAATTAGATACCAGTTTTTTTCAGTTTATTATTTATCTTGTTTTTGTAAGAATTGCCTTAATGTTATACTTACTGTTTATACTGGGTATATGTACAACCGGGTATTTTAGCAAATGAGTTAAAAAAGAAGTATAAGAACTGCTTTTTGTAGCACAGTACCTCCTAAATGTTTTAATTTTGCATGTATGTACTTGACTGATGTTATTAATGAATTAAATTTGTTCTACGTTTATTTAAGTGTTTAGAAATAGGGGCAAACATGCCCTTTGTATGAAAAAAAAGTGTTCAGAAATACCTTAGGTTTGATAGTATTCAGTTGCGGATAGTTTTCTATGCTGCTTATTAAATTACTACAAATTTAGCTGCCTAAAGTAACACATCTTTATGATCTCACAGTTTCTATGGGTTAGGAGTCTGGGTGCAGCTTAGTTTGGGTCCTCGGCAAGACTGCAATCAAGGTATTGGCCAGGACTGGGTTGTTTATTTAGAGTCTGGGCCGGGGAAGGGTCTGCTTTCAAGCTCCCTCCCTCAGGTTGCTGGCAGAATTCATTTCATCATGGTTGTTAAGCTCTTGCCAACTTGCTTCTTCAAAGCCAGCAAAGGAGAGACTAGCAAGATGGGCTGGTGCTACACTCTTATGTAAATATGTACATGTAATCACACAGAGCCCATTGCCTTTGCTGCATTCCATTGGTTATAGACAAGTCACAGGTCCTGCTCATACTCAAGGGGGAGGGAATGACAGAAAGGTGTAAATATCAGGAGGCAGGGATCACCTGTGGCCACACTGATTATAGACTTAGGTTGACCAGCTAAACATACAATTGTTCTAACCATATTTTTGAACTC